AAAGAAAAGAAAGAAAAGCCCACTGCTTTTCGTCCTCCGGTTAAAAAACAGGGAAAAGTCAGAATTATATTTATCAGCATTTGGAAGCCTAACCATATTTAAAGACTGAGTACAAAAACATCCAGCAAGGAAAACAGAGTCATGTCTAGGTTCTGTTCTCCTCAATTCCCAAAGCATATTCCAAATTCCACTAACATGAACAACAGTTTTGCATCCCCTATCTTAGGGAAGATTTATTAGGGGACAAAGATGACATACTAACGCTGGGGCTACGGGTACAATGATTCAGTGAGGATGAGTCTAACAGGAGACAGACAACATAGGTCATCCTTCAAATCCTCTTGTTGAAAAGACCACAAATAAAAATCAAGTGCATGACAGAACAGTGATTAATGACCCCAAGTAAAATATTTTTCTAAGTTACAAAATTGCTCTTCCAGTGTTTGAAAACAGAAAAACCTGTGGGAGAAGAGGTTACATTCCAACAGTTAGAGTAAATACGAAAAGAAGGTAAATTATTACTCTCTTATCTTGGTTACTAAAGCAAAGATGAAAATAACAACCAATGCTTTGATAAGATCTGCTCTTTACAAAAGTGAGATAAATAACCAGTGGCAGCTGGGTTAAAAATACAGACCCCGAGGGTCAGCTTCTGCCCTCAGCTGTAGATCTGCAATCCATTTCACCAACTTCTGAGCACAGCCAAATGCAGATTGTGGCCTTCAGACTTGAACATACAGGTAGTTCCCATCTGTTTGCAAATAATTCTCCAGCTACGCATACAGCAGCAATCTACAAAAATCTCAGAATGTGCGTTTGTAAAAAAGAAAAAAGGGGAAAAAAAGAAGAAAAAAAAAAAAGACAGGTACAGCCATGATTCCGATCTCCGATTTTCAATGAAAAAACCCAAAGGTCCACAAGCAAAACTGAAGATATTTAAAATCCCTGAAGAGACCCCATACTCTTTCTAACGCTTAACACCACAGCTCACCTTGCAATATACTTCACATTAACATCTAAAGCACGACCAAGCAGGAAGTGCAGCACACGCTATCATTACAGCACACAGGGTAAGATCCTGGCCCCATTTGAATCCATGTCAAAAAACTCTCATTAAAAGTTCAAGAGATGGCAGTATTTGAAATCTGATTGCTACAGACCTCTCCTTTTCAAATTTCTGTAAAAGACGACATTTTGAAAACTATTGTGCTGATTTCTGCTGCTGCTTCCCGTTTACTGAGAGAGGTTGGCTGAACTGGACTTTGGCGATGAGAGATGCGAACAGAAATAAAAGGAGAAAACGTCAGGACAATTGAATAAATTTCCTTCTTTGCACGACTCCAAATCCCACGGTCACCATTAATTCAGAAAACAAAACAAGCCCGAACAGAGTCAAGATTATCATACACGTACGATGTGAAACAGGGCAAACAACACTCAAGACTGAAGTAATACCTCGAAATTAAACAGCCTTGAGCAGTTAGCAGGAGATATGGTGAGAATTCTATACTGTTTTAATACTAGTGGATCTGTTCTACGGTATGCGCTGATCAGTAACGCCCTGCTTCCAAACTCCACTATCCGTTCTCTCGCATTACAGAAGTTTTAAGACGTTGCCTGAAAATAAAAAGTATCAGTGTAACATACAAACAGAATTTCATCTGTAGCCATGACAACACAGCCTTTCCAAAATGATTCTAACCCAATGAACATCTGTCAATTAATTTAAGAAGGGTTGTTTTGTCCTGGCTCATCAATAAAAAAAAGTTGGAAATCAACAAACATTACGTTGGCTTTAGCAAGAGGAAACATTCAATGGCTCCTGTTGTAAAAGTGAGTGTAGTGCTCTTGACAGAAACCAGTGTATTCAGTCATCTGAAGATGCACGTGGCCACAGCCAATGCCCTCTTTTCCTCCCCCCACCCCCAAGTCCCCCAACAAAGCGAGAAATATTAGCTTCTTCTTCCACCCCACCCCGGATTTTCTCCCATAGTTTGACTACAGTAATCCTTAAACAGGCAGAAAGTTGATGCGTTCTCTTCAGTTGATGCCTCCAACTTCTTCATTCTTGGCTCAAGTTTTATTCATTAATATTAGTCATCAGTTATTAAGAAAAAGATAGTTTCTAAGTGTTTGTTGTTGTTTTTTAACTGAAGTTAATCGGATACCATAGTCTGGTTATATGTGTTGAACTGCAGCTGCCAATTATTCCTTTTTCTTGAATTCTTGGTTGCCATAGCTGGAGCCTTTCTCTATTTCAGTTACTCCTATCAGTCTACGAACTCCAAAGGAAGCTTTAAAATATAACAGAGAAATGGGAGGCATATTAAAACCAGTTCAAGGATTTAGCAAGTCACATGTAAACACACAAGCAGAACCAACGTGAGTTAACCCAATCCTGAAGACAGTAGTGACTACAGACCAACAGTGCACTGTATGAGGCTGCACACAGATCACATGTCAATAAACGAGGAGGACAATCCAAATTTAAAAATATAATTAACGCTTCTATGTTGATTAACAGGACAGGTAGTATGAATGCTGAAGCATACCCCCACCCCCCCTGTTTCAGTTTTGGGGGGGGGGGGGGGGGGGGGTTTGGGTT